GGAGGATTAAGCTGCTCGTATAACGAGGTGCACCGGTCCTCATGTGTAACACACACTGGCAGATTAAGCACGCATGATGTGTGTAGAGGATTGCTCAAGTCTGATCGTTCAACCTGCGAGCTCGTCGTTGCTTCCTCCGAGGTAGCTGGGAGGAGAGAAACATGAGCGCAGGGAAGCGGGGCCGCCTTCCGCGAACGAACGGGGGCAGACTGCTTTCGTGGTAAAAGCAGCCTGTGTCTGTGAGCGTAGCCATAGTGACACACACACAAATTTGAAGCTGTCAGCGGCAGCATCTGCTCCGATCTACTTTGTAGGATAGAGCCCCTCGATGTAAAGAAGGGCACTGATCCTTTTGTGTGAGACACGGATCGAAGCGCAGCGGGGAGAGCGAGTACAAACGGGAGAGCTGGGCTGCTTTCAGTGAAGGCGGTCCGCGAGTGGAGAAGAGCAAGACTCATGCTCGAGTGAGCATTTTTTTCAGTAAGCGCGTAGCTCACTGCCCTTCTGCGGCAGATCCGAGTGCAACGGGAAGAGCGAGCACGTGGGTACAGTGCCGTCATGCGATCGCTCAGACCCGATTGCTTAGCTCCCTGACTCCGCTGTTTCTCTCTCCGAGGCTCGCTGAGCGAGGAGAAACGGGAGAGCGGGGCTGCCTCCAGTGAAGGTGGTCCGCGAGTGGAGAAGAGCGAGACTCATGCTCGAGTGAGCATTCCGTCTCAGTGAGAGAGCAGTCTCTGTGTGGGGTCTGCCCAGACAGATGACGTACTCATTGCTCTTCTGCATCGTGCAAGTTTCCCTGCATGAGCCACACTCGCAGCGCAACATTTGCAACAACGTCGCTAGAATTTGCTCTTTTAGGGCTTACCTGCTAGAAATAAGCTCTTTCAGAATCACCGGATGGCGGCAGGGGAAATGGACCGGAACTGCTGCGTCGCTGTAGCGGCGGAGAAGCAGGTTAGCTGTGCTGAGAGGTCCAAATTCCAGCTGCGAAGGAGTGTCAATGGCGAGCAGGCTTTCAGGATCAGCGATGAGCGTAGAGTCGTCGCTGAAGGAAAATAAATCTGAGAATCCTGTGGCGAACGCCCACTTATATAGCCAGACGCCTTCTGGCGGGCTTTGGCAGGCTTGGCGGGCTTCGTCGCCATAGGCTCACGCAGCTCTGCAGCCTAACCATTGGTTCGTACGTTTTTTAATACACTGCACGAACCACTGGCCGTGCAGTTTCACTGCGTGAATGAAATAGGCTTCAGTTCAGGAGAAAAAAGGCTTTTTTCCCATATGCGTCTAGCAGACGCAGTATGAGTGTTGTATCGAAAGGGAACCAGTTTGTTTAACCAGTTTTCTGTTGCCACATTTATTTCAATAAGCCATTGTTAATGTGGGTTTTTACACCATTACAACTATTTGTTATTTGTTTTTTCTTCCTCCTTCACTTTGGACCAGACAATAGACTAAGAAAAAAGTCCAAATTAGACAATAAATCACTTGCGTTTAAATGCAACACTTTTTCCATCAGTTTGTCATGTGATGACAGTGATTATAGGGCAACAACTCAGTCATGCCACTATTCATTTTCTGAATGCATGTTTTGTACAAGCAAGAAATTTATTGTCAAGCACACAAAAGACTGGATTGGGAAAGGAACTAAATTCCAATTCTAAGGGCTATTTAAACACCTCTTGGTTGATTTAAAAAGTATGTTTATATATTAAATATATATTCCACTGTCAGCGAACACCTGTTTAGAAAAAAAGAAAAAAGGAAAAGAAATATCTATTTAAACACTGCTTGAACGTAACATGTTATTGTATGTAACCAACAGCTTTCCCTTTTCCTGTTGAGGATGGTGCTCGGAAGTTGTTGTTATTGAAGATCTTTCCTCCATTGCGTTTTCTACAGGATGAGGCTTTAAGGGGGGCTTCCCTTTCTGGGTATGTTTTTAACAGAGCGACACATATTCAACACTACCAAGTGTGATTTAACAGAAAGATAGTTGCCTGTAATCTTCAATTAAAACTTAATGCAAAGTCAGCGCATCCAACTTTAGTGGTATTGCAAAGACTGAATTTACATTTGTAAGGCAATATGAGAGATGTTCACAAGTTTGCACCACCTGAAGGATTTGGCATTTGATTCTTCCATAGAGATGTTATCGCGTTTTGTCTGGCATTCTTTTGAAATGCAATCCTGGGGAGTATTCCAGAAAGCAGTTTTGTTGGAAACTCAGAGTTTGTTAACCCCAGAAAAGGGAAACTCAGGGTTTTCGGTTTCAGTAAAAGACAAAACTAAACCTCTCTGTAAATTACCATAGTAACTTACTCTGTGAACCTAACCTGGTCGGGAGCAGGTTTCCTTCTGTAAACCCAGAGTTTCTTTCGGTCTCCTCCCCTTTTTTAAAGCGTAAGCAATGTTTAAATACGTCATTCATTCATTCACGCTGCAAAAATTGCTTTTATTACTAAGATTTTTGCCTTATTTCAAGTACAAATATCTAAAAATTCTTAAATCATGATGCATTTTATTCTTACCATCACACCTTCCGAAAATGACGGATGCCAGATGGAATGGTAGTGCAAGATATATGCGTAACCACCACCACAGCTGTTAAATAAACACAAATTATTCACAATTTATTTGGTCATCTTTATTTCCTACAAATACAAAAGCAACCGTTATGCTTTTTCCTTTTGGATTTTAAAATTCTTCCAATACTTGACCATCTCCTCTTCATCTGTCAGTGTTGATGCTGCAGGTCCTCCCCCCATTTTGAGAGCCTCTACCATCTTGCTGTCCACTGAGTACAAGTCAGTTGTTAATTTCATTTCTCTAATTAAGAAATGTAACAGGTTGGATTAGAGAATATTTAATTTGTTTTTATGTTTAATTTTTTTCTGCTGCCACATTTTCCTTTTTTTTTTTGCCCGTGGGATACCATAAGAATGAATATTAGTTCAATAAATTACCTTTCTGCCAGTTTTCACCTCTGATAACATTGATTTAGAATTAAAGTTGCGTATTCCGTAGTATGCAGAAGTCTTTTTGGCGGGAGCTGCTGCCATGGTGAATCATAATTTCGGAGCTCCATTGATCATGGCTTTTCATAGTCGTGGTGCACGCACTAAACTCAGTGTCAACCTACTCAGAATGGATTGAACTAACTCTGTTCAGCTGTTCTGAAACCGAAAACCCAGAGTTTCCAATCTCAGGGTAAGTTAACTCAGAGTTTGTTGAACCTCCTTTCTGGAATACACCCCAGGTGCATCTCATTTGGTAGCCTGAATTACCACTTTGTATCTTCTGGAATGTGATCTTTTCCAGAATGATGCATTACTATCAATACAGTTCTAAGTATTATTAGTTGTGTTTAACTAGGCAAACACCAGTATTACTATTGCTCATATTTTTAGGGTTGAGACTTAGTTTTAAATGTTGTATAGTGTTAAATTTGACACTTCTCGCATTGTTTGTGCTACATAATGTTTTTAAGCATCTTGTAATTCTATATTCAACCATTTCTGTACAGCTCTCAAGATGCAGGATAGCTAGCAGTGCTTTGATTTGTCAAGGCAGGCATGTTTATGCAAGGGGTGAGCACAGACGCCAGCAGCAGTGAAAAGATGTGGAAATGCTTGATCACAAGCAGTTTGCAGCATGCTTTTTTCATGTCTAGTTTTTGCATTAGTCAGCAGTGTGGTAATGATAAGTCTTGACAGAATTCATGACAGGCTTATTTGAATTCCATTTCTGTGATTTAGTGATCTGCCAATCATAGTTGTGTGGCAAACATACATTAAAACTCAGGGATTAATGCTGCCTTCATGTGCTATATTGGGAACATCCTCTGAAGTTGTAATTATGAGTTTGTTCAAGTGCTTTTTTGTCGGAAAGAACAGAAAGCATGGTGGATGGCCCATTCATGTTCATGCTTACCTGTTTTCTTGGGAAAAATTTATTAAAGATTAAATATACTACTGAACTACTGAAATCTATTTAAAACAGAGAAAACGCAGACCTCATACTTTATATCCCATTGCCATACCCACAGAATAACCGAGGCTGAGCTAATTTTTCATCACAAACTAACATTCAAGATGTAATCAACCCTAAACAAAATTTCAAGCCTTTTATTGAGCCTTTGTCATAATATTCTCTATGCTATGCATCCATTTCTGTTAACTATAGACCAGCGGTAATTTCACAGAAGATACTTTTGGCACAGGGACCTTTTTTCTTTTGCCAGAGTAATTTAGAAATATATTTCAAATAAATCTCTTATAGTGCTGGTTCATAGAAGAATCTGATAGCCTGCCAGTCAGATAAATGCAACTGTCTAATGTGGTTTGTTTCATGGTATTTTTATTGCTACCCACAACGCTTTTGACAAGAAAACAGACTTCCATATTCAAAACATGTGCGGATCAAATCACTTGCATCCTAAAGTGAACCTCCACTGCAGTTTTTCCAGAGGTTGGTTATTGTTTAATAAACACAAATGGCCTAAACACCTTCAGTTGCAGTCACAGTGCTATTCAATGCTAGTAATTAACTAATGCCATAAACATACAAGTAGTTGTTGGAGCTTAATTTATAGTTCTGCAGGGAAGTGCCAACAGCCGTAATGTTTACCACCTGTGTCGTTAAGCCTAATTTGTGCTTTACTTACTACACTTATTTTACTGTAACATTAAATACTTTTACAGGTCCTTCAGACTTCACACCTGTAATTTTTCTGATTTAGGAAAATCTTGATAATGAATTTACATAATCCACTGAATTAATAAGGTTTTTATATTGTGTTTTCATAGTGCTGTTGACTTTGACAATGTGATTGTAATTGCCAACACCACCATTGAGGTAAACAAGCCTATGCGTCCATTTTTCAGTGGAACACATGGATACATTTTGAAGAACCCTTTGTGTGAGGAACCAACCAAAATGTATGTTTTCATTCACTAATAATATTCCTTTCTGCCATAATCTTATTTGTGCTTAAATTCAGGTTTAAAAAAAATGATTGATGCATCAGGGTTGGCGACATTGATTGCATTGTTTTGGATCGCCATGTGTGAAAGAGGTGAAGTTTTCAGATAAATTAAAACTTACATTTCTGTGGTATTACTTCAGAATACTTTAAATGTGCATTAGTAGTATGGACTTTCATTGTGCTTTATGGTGTGTTTTTGTCCTTTTTAGAACTGTGACTGTCCTGCCTTGTGTATTTCATGGAAAAATGGCAATTTTGGAATGGAGGTGAGTTATTTTTATTTTTTTAATAAACTGTTCCTTTAAGATCAAAAGAGTGTCAACATACTCATTAAGCTTTAAAACAGATAAGAAGGTTGGCTAGGCAAGTATGCTTCTGTCTGGCGGGGATTTTCAATGTGAGAGTGCTTAGCCATTTGGGGGTTGGTGCACAAATCGGTAGATGGGGGTTGGGCACTTTGTGCTGTTTCACCCTTGTGATAGATGGGGGTGGTGGTGAATCTCCTGTTTCAAAGAAGTTAAAGCGAGGATAGTGTAGTAAGACAAGTACTTGATGACTAAAAGGTGAAAAAATTCCCCCCTTTAAGTAAAAGGGCAGGGTGTTGCTATAGAAACAGACAGATCTGGCCACAAACTCCCCCGACATTGTAACAGATGGTTGGAGGTAGAGCCGTTCGGGGGTGGGTTAAACCAGCATTTTCTCAAAGATCACCATTAAAAGTTTACTTCCTGCACAACTCTTCCGTCATTGACGGTTACCTGTAAAAAGGGAGGAACAAACCAGAAAGAATACATCACACAGGACACTTCTAAACCAGGACATTTGCTATTCAATAATTTAACAATGTATTTGCATGATTTGCCCCATTTAGTTAACCCATATTAACCTAAAAACACCTAACAGTGTATGGACAGTCATCTTTGCTGTTTTTGTTGTTATGGAACAAATTTCATCATTCAGAACACAACAGTATTGGCTATAATTTTCTCATGCTTAACCCTGCCCAAATTGCACACATCATGGGTGTATTGTGGTATAATCTGCTAATAGTCAGTATTTTGGATATTAAACAGTTTTGTCTAATCTGTAAGTAAATTATGTGAGCACAGTCACAAAGTGCTGAAATTGTTAGGGGTTCTTCAGAATGTCCCGGCCCAGTGTGATTAAGTGGCTTGCAATAATGAGGACGATGCTTCTTAGTTTAGCTGTTCACATTTCATTGGAAGAGTAGCACAATTGCTGTAAGATTTACAGAGATCAAGAGTAGAAGTGTGTAATGAATTTACTGTTCATGTAGTAGCATTTTTGTTCAAAGCAACTTACAAATGAGGAACATCAATATTCCCAATAATACACATTTCAGGAGTAAGCTAGAGCGGTCCAAAAACGTAGTAAAATTCATTGAATTTATTTGTGGGAGTTTCCTTAGATTGTGCCTTTGGTTTAAGTTCACATCATGATGTGTAGAATACAATGAATTAAATGGGATGGTTCACCAAATAATTCAGATTTTCTCATTATTTACTCTCCCTCATGTCATTCCAAACCTGAATGACTTTCATTCTTCTGTGAAACTCAAAACAAGATTTTTGAGAAATGTATCAGTGTTTTTTTTTTGTCCATACAGTGAAACTCATTGGGTCCAATGTTGTTTGAATGCCAACATTCTTTTAAATGTCTTCCTCCACCAAAACAAATCTGAATTGTATCCCTTTAAGTGTTGTTTAATGTAAACCAGGTATAAATATAAATAGCATCATCTAGATTTTTGGTATCAAGAGAACTACACTATCCAAGTCATGCTTGCGTAATGTCAGGTTCAGGCTTCTGTCAGTGAGTGGGCAGCGAGGGGCCTCACAGAAGCCTTTAGTTACACTGTGGTTTATAGGTCAGCTCTGCCCCGAGACAGCACACTCTAAGGAAAACATTCACACACAAAGCACCTCTGTTTTAGGAAAAACAGAAGTCTCAATTTACTAAGGTATTTGGAATTTCTAGAGAAAGGGTTACATCTTATGGACAACGACAACAATGCAGAGCATTATTTGTTTGAAATGATGCATCTCAAAAATACTTGGACAGAGAAAGTGACTGTGCATGCACAAATGGAAAAGTTGATGACTTCCATCTGGTACACAATGTGCTGAGAGGGTGGGTGTGTTTTTTGGGGTTGATGTGATGTTTTGTCATGTTGCTTGAAATTGAATGTCATCCATTTTTGATATGAGTAGTTTTCTTAAAGATGTGAGAAACAGACCCTAAAGTTGATCTTTGTTTCTTTTTTTTCCACAAAGACAACATTTTGATTCAAATAGTAGAAAAAAATATGACAAGATATTTATATTGGCCAAGAAGATATATACAGATGATTTTTTTTTGTAACTTTTTCTTTTGGTGGTGATCATGTCTAAAACTATGAAAGATTATTTGTTTTCATGCCAAAGTGCTAGGAACACGACCCCTGTGTTGATCTTCTCTTCAGTGTATTATGGCAGTGTTTTCCAACCGGGCTGCCGTCTGTCGAGAGCAGGGGTGCCGTGTAAAAAATCCTTTTTTAATATTTTTAAACTGATAAAATGTTTCACCTCTATTTAAGTTGTGTTCAGTTCACTGTCTACTATGTCCCTATGTGTGTCTCCTGCCAGTTCTGTCCTGAATTTACCCTTGTGTGGATTTATTAAAGACTCTTTGTGTTCATCTTCATCTTTGTGCGTTTATCTCACCGTAGTGTGATATGTGTTTGTCTCATCTTTTCTTGAATTTATCAGCATTTTAATCCATGTTGTAGATAACCTGGGAACTAAGGTGAAGTTCAGTGCATACTAACCAGGGCTCCAAACAAAAAAAAAATCGAGTAAGGAGCCATTGGCTCCTATATGAAAAAAACTTAGGCACTAAATTATTTTTTTAGGTGCCACAGAATAAACGCGTTTTATTTATTTATTTATTTATTATTTTTAACATTTTGACATTTCACCCTTGGACTGTTTTGTTGTGTTTTCATTCCTCATGTGCTCAGTGTGACCCAGTTTTCCCCCGTGTTTGATTATGTTAGTCAGTTCACCTGTGTCCTCATTAGTTGATCCTCCTCACCTGTCTGTCCCTCATTATCACCTCTATTTAAGTTGTGTTCAGTTCACTGTCCCTATGTGTGTCTCCTGCCAGTTCTGTCCTGGATTTATCCTTGTGTGGATTTATTAAAGACTCTTTGCATTCATCTTCATCTTTGTGCGTTTATCTCACCGTAGTGTGATATGTGTTTGTCTCATCTTTTCTTGAATTTATCAGCATTTTAATCCATGTTGTAGATAACCTGGGAACTAAGGTTTACTTAAAGTGGGAGCTAAACATCTTTTCCAACTTGAAATATACAGTCACAAATAATTGTCTATTACACAGAATCTGTACCAATATCATGGACCATAAGCATCACTTGGCCATTGAGTGTACACTTAAGTAATTGAATTTAATACATTTGAGATAGTCCAACTTAAAATAAAAGGTGAACACGTTTTCAAACTGTTATTTGCCAGTGTAAATCAGAATTGTCAAGTTCACTTAACTTATTTCTTTCATTATGTATAAAGTTTATTTAATAATTTTAAGGCAACGGGTTTCCTCAACATTTTTTTTTTAAAGTAAAGTCAACTGATCGCTTTTTACAGTGTAATTTGGGCTCCTCCTCAATGCATCCTATAATGTTGTCATATCTTTCACACATCCAGTCGGGTTTTCTTCATTAGTAACATGCAATTTTATAGGACGTGTTGAATTTTCTTTAGCTTGCATTCTTGCATTTTTTTTATCATGTAGACAACAGGTTAAGTAAAAATATTAATATGAAATAGCGCATAAATATAGCAAAATGCTCCTCTTTATAGTTATTTTTCTAGCTGACTGATAAGCTTATGGACACCAAATGGTTATTCTGAAGTATTGTTACGTGGCAATGTTTACAAGCTTTACATGTTTTCCACAGTTTTTGACAGAATGAGCGATTACATGAGACATTTCAGTAAGTTGTACTGTAGGCTCTCTTATAAATAGTGTACCTTTTGATCATTCATGTTCATTTCGTACTAGAGAAAGAAGTTCACGCCGGCACGCCTAGGAAAAGCACACAAGAGAGTCATTTTGAAACATCAAGACAAATAAAATTGACTTGAAACACAATACTTTCTTTACTGAGGTGAATATCTTTGTTCTGAGACAGCCTAGAATGTGCATAAAGTGCGCTCCCTCATATGATCACTAAAAGCTGTCACTCACTTCAGTTCATTGCGATCTCACGACGTTCCGTTAATAAGCTCTCTGCACAATGAATCTCTTATTTACATCGTATCTACACTGTTATAATGAGAGGATTCCGAGTTTGCAGAACTCCGCAAACTCAGCATTGAGCGGTGAGTGGATTCCAATTTAAACACTTCTGGTCATCGCGTTCAAGAAATTAACAGATATGTCTGTGATTGGCTACATTGTTCAATGCTGCAAATATGTTTCTGCAATATCAGATGGAGCCCCCTGATTTCCCCGGGGCCCTAAGCGGCCGCTTACCTCGCTTATTGGTTAAGTCCGCCCCTGATAGTCGCCAGTGGCGACCTCAGCAAAAACCTCACTTGCAAATTAATATTTTTGGTCGCAAATGCGACCGTTTTAGTCGTAGTCTGGAGCCCTACACACAAAGTTCATTGCATTATTCTTTTCATTGTCTAAAATTTGGGGCCCCTCTAAAGCCAATCTGCTGTACTTCCTTTCAACATTCATGTAGTAAAATGTAATGCTCAGTCTCCAAGCATCTTGGTAGATGATTAATGCTCTCCACAGTTCATCTTCATTCTAACTACTTAAAGGACTCTCAGATTCTTAAGGCTCTCAACAAATTCCAATGGTTGTTAGGTATTGTTGGATTAACAGAGTTAGTTGAGGCAGAGTAAACCAGCCTTTAGTCTAAACAGTGATTTCACCTACTTTTTACACATAACTAAAGTTGGTGTTTCTTTTTACTCTGTTTTTTTATTTTATTTTATTATTATTATTGTTTATTGTCTGTTGTTTTTTGGCAATATTTTTAAATTACATCTGATTTTGGTCAGTAAAAATGTTTTGGTGATGAGAAACTGTGAAATTAAATGACATTTTCAGCATTTCTTACAAATTTGGTACATTATTTTAAACCTCTATCATCATTTAACAAATATAAATGCCTGAGAGGGAGAGAGTGAGAGAGCGAGAGAGAACAAACTCTTTAGCCAATATCTTTTTGCTGTGCAAATAGTTAACCTTGTTAGCAAAGGTTATTTTCCCAAACTCCGCCCACCATTACTCAGTTATTTTTACCTTTAGTACAAATAGCGCATTACTTGTATTTACACTTTGTCTGAATAGCATTTAACATTATACTTAGTGTAAACAAGATGCTATTTGTGGCTATTTGTTCTTGGTTCAAATAGTATCTACTATTTACATTAAGTATAAATATAATTTACCTTTTTCTTGGTGTAAATGGCCACTGCCAATTAATGCTTAAGTTATTCATTGTCATTTTTTAATTTTTTATAGTGCATTATTACAGAAAGAGTGCATTCACAATATGACAAGTAGCTTCACTTGTCAATTTCCCTTTTTTTTTTTTTGTTAAATTATGTTTCTGTTGTGTGTGTGTATATATGATTAATTTCATATGTATAGGATGTGCTTAGGTTGAGTATATTAACCTGCTAGAAAAGTGCTTCAGTGTATCGGTGTTCATTTAGCTTTCGTATCTCACAACTAATTTGGGTCAAACCCTGATATTGACTATGACTGAATTATTTTAAACAATATTGTTTCTATAGATTTCATTTCCAAAAAATATTGCCAGTGTGTAACACAGTGCATTATTTTGAGGTGTTCTTTTTGTTTTCTTTGCATATTTTTGTTAGTAGCTTGTAAATTTTTTCGGCTTGATTTAATTTTAGCCAATTACCTGATCCCTTCACAGACTTGTCTGGTATTATGAGGGAAGTCGTGGCCTAATGGTTATAGAGTCGGACTCGTAACCCAAAAGTTGCGGGTTCGAGTCTTGTCTTGCAGCGATTGTAGGTGGGGGGAGTGAATGTACAGCGCTCTCTCCCACCTTCAATACCATGACTGAGGTGCCCTTGAGCAAGGCACCGAACCCCCAACTGCTCCCTGGGTGTAGCAGCAAAAAATGGCTGCCCACTGCTCCGGGTGTGTGTTCACGGTGTGTGTGTGTTCACTGCTGTGTGTGTGCACTTTGGATGGGATAAATGCAGAGCACTAATTCCGAGTATGGGTCACCATACTTGGCCACATGTCACTTCACTTTCACTTTTTTACTTTCACTTTATTATAATTAATACTATTTACAAACTTGCACATTTTTTTTCTCTATAGTGCTTAAAGTCTTCCATGTTCCACATTAGTTTGAGCTCACGCAATCAGGTCTACTGCCCAGAATGAAGCATTTTGCCAGACCATTTAGAGCTCAGCAGTACACAGTGAGTTTCTGAGTGTCTCTGTCTTTGCTGACAGTAGGAGATAATCAGTAATGAGGCCAAATTAGTGCGGAGTCTGTATATTTATGGTTGCTGTTGACCTGAATCATCCATGTGCAACACTTCATGAACAACCCTGAAAAATTAGTTGTACATCACTAGAGTTTAATGAGAATGTGTTTGTCATTCAACAAGCAGAATAAAATAGTACCATAACAGGGACGTTTAGACAAAGTATATTAATAAAACACATGCCATCTCAGTTAAAAGATAATATTTCATTGTCTGCAGTTGAAATGGCAGTGGTTAAAGTGAATTACTACTAAGGCATTTTACTCTACCCATGTGGGATGAAGGCCGCTCTTGGCTCTGTGACGTAGTGGTTAAAGTTCTATGTTTGTATCCCAAAGGTTTGCCGGGTTCAAATCCTGGAAGGGGTGATTCATGGACTGCATTTCAGTGGATGGTTTGCTGACTGCTTGATGAATATTGCAGAAAAATGGCTGTTTGAATATAATTGGCTGGTTTACAAGAAGCCAGGCTGGTACAGTGAGCGCTTCTGTAACTTGATTTGCCAGTCTGCCTTGTAAATGGCATCAAATGTTTGAAAAACTTGTTTTAAGTGCTCAGCAGAAAGTAAACCAGATATCCTCGAGTAGAAGAGTATTCTGATGTGTTTCTGAATTACACTACAGCTAAAAAGTTTCAGGTCGGTAAGATTTTTTGAAAGATTTTTTCTATTTGAATTTATTCCTGTGATGGCAAAGCTAAATTTTCAAAAGCCTTTACTCAGTCTCCAGTGTCATATGGTCCTTCAGAAATCATTCTGATGGTGCTAAATATTTTTCCTGACGAATAAAAAGTAAAAAAAAAAATTAAAATAGAAATCTTTACAATTGTCACACACATGGTTTGGACGTTTTCAGTTTGCACAGTTTCCTTTAGTTGAGTTTGTTGTCGTGGCGATTGATTAATTTCTCATTCTGTTTAGGCTTGTGCACTTGTTGTCATTAGTATTTAAGTTCTTGTGTTTGCTTCTTCAGGTTGTCGGGTATTGTTTGTGTCTAAACTTTGGTTGTTGCTCTTCACCTCTCTGTTTGGATTTTCTTGAGGATTTATTAAAGATTGTTTTGATTACCTTCATCTTTCTTGTGGTGCATATTATTTACAACCAGAGTTGTTACAATAATTCCTTCACTGTCACTTTTAATCAATTTATTGTGTCCTTGCTGAATAAAAGTATCAATTTCTTTCAAAAATAAATGTATACTGGCCTTTTAAATAGTAGTGTTAGTAGTATTAAATCAGTATTTTGAAATATAATCTGTACTTTAATAATTTTGTATGGACAGAATTTCTAATTACAAAGTATACACATATTTCTGCTATAGATCCTGCAATATTTGACTGTTGTGAAACTGGTCTGGCACTGCTTAGACACTTCAGATTGATTGCTTTCACAAGTCTGGTCCATTTGTATAGGATGGTGTTTAAATTTTAATCAACACAAATATAAGTGGACAAAATGATGCAAAACTGCAGTTGCTCATGGGAAACAACAAAGGCTTGAAAACCGACTTGGGGGTGCGGGGGGTGGGGGGTGATGAATAAATAGTGTTGAATGCAAGGGGCTCATATTCATATTGTCATGGATCTGAAGTTACCATGAGTGACAATACAGCTCTCTAAGGGTTTTGTTATGTAGGGACATTAGTGACATAGGTGAGCTAAAATTCTCTAAAGCGCTTCATCTAAGGACTGGTAAATAAAGACGTAAAATCCACATCCATTGACCTTGTGCCAGTGAAACATTACCAAAATATAACAATGCTGTTGACAGAATACCCACCCTGTTCTTTCTTCTTTGTTACTGTGTTCCAGGCCACTGAAACTGACACGAAGACTGGTGCAAAAGAATCTTCAAGAAATAATCTGCCCAGAAATAAAAAGTCTAACATAATTTACTTACCTTCATGTCACTTCAAACCCATGTGACTGTCTTTCCTCCGTGTAATGTGAAAAGGTAATTTAATGATACTTTTTATTTTATGAAAGTGACTGAGAATTGGGGCTGTCAGGCTTCAATAAGGATGCAACAACACATAACATCATCATATAGTCCATAGAACATTATTTCCAAGTTTGTCCTTTTGTGTTGCACAGAAAATATAGCAGCATATGGATTTGAAAAGCCGTGAGGGTGAATAAATGATCAAACTATCCCTTTTAGATACGGTCCAGGTAAAAGGCAATGAAATGAGCAATGAGAACAAGATCCTCTGCCCCAAGGCTTGTACATATAACTTTTATATTATTAACTTTTTATTTTATTTTATTTCCTTTTTTTTTTTTTTTTTTTTAGATGAGCATGCTATTCAAAAGGGTTTCCTCTGCTGGCTGAAGACACAGGAGACTAAACAGATAAAAAGATTGGAGTCAACCCTAGCCCACTCTATTCTTTCTTGATGAAAACTGATATGTCCTAGAGACCAGGACTGGGAGTAAAATAATAAAAAGTGATTGCCTAAAGAGCCGCTCAGGATGAGTGCATCGTGGGTGATATTATTCTAACCAGGTATGATTACATCCAGGTCTACTTTCTCAGGAGGAAACTGAGCTGGACAAGAGGAAAGTAGCCAAGTGTGGGAGCAAGAGGTAAGTATCTAGCCAAGCATAATTGATCCTATTTCTATTTTTAACCATTTCCAGCTCACTGGTGCCAAATGGTAAGCCCAGATCTTTAAAACACATTTCCCCAAAAACGGTTCTCAACAAGTTGTGAATTTCAGTGAAACGGAAAGAATTGGCCTCTTTTAGAGTTCTCTCCCTTTTGGTGCTTATTGCAAAATGTAACAACAGAATGTGCAGATTCAACCACTATCAACTTCACCATGAAGTCTCCAAGATCTTATTTGTCAGCCTACGTCTTTATCATGTTTAGGGTGTGTAGCAACTCTGTTCAAAAGCTGAATGGAGAATGTTAACCGAAGGCCAAAACACAAGTATAGAAATTCATTCTCATCTGTCAAGTAGTACTGGTTTAAACATTTTAAATGTCCTTTTACAACTGAATTTTACTTCCTTAATGTGATGTATTTTTTCCATTATCCATTGAGAATTGATTGGAATGTGAAAAGTGGGCATTACAAACCGAAATTGCTAGTCATACTGAGTTGCTAAAACTATGCCTACGTAGCTGTTGCTTAACATCCAATAATCCATGTGACCTTTAAGTGATGTCAGCATAAAGTTATTTCAGAGGAAGAGAAAGTTACTACATTTTGATTAAAAGCTATGAAGCTGTAATGTGCACAATGAATCCTCCAAAATAAACCCAAACGTGCATTAAGGAAGTAAATGGGTCTATTTTGAGTTTGTGATGACTTTAAATTTTGATTTAACAGAAACACTATGTTCAGCCAAATAGCATACTTTTATCATCATAAACTGCGGGGAGTATACTAAAGAAAGAGATTCTTCACTCTTCAGGGAAAAACCAAAGACTAATTTATGGCCTCAATTTGATACAATTGTATTACATTGAGTAATCATATTCATAATAAAACAATGACAAATAGATTTTTATTTTGGCTTGTGGAAACCCTCTGCAAACAAAACCACTTAGACTTTTGACTCACTAAAGGGAGTTGGACATTTTTGGTTGTTGGCAGTGGAGACATCCAACACCATCATCTTCGGATTTATCCCATTTGTCTACAGCTGTTTGACTGACACTAAAAGCTGTGGGAGGAATAGCTGAATAGGCCTGTCTCCGCTTAAACACATGAAACTCCGCTTGTGTGCTAATCCACCATGCCCTGCACCACAGCTAAATATTCCTTCATAGTTCCTTATCAGCATTTTCCCGAATTCAGACCCAAAAATGAAATAACACTTCCCTTTGGCCTTAACTTTTGCACAAGTCAGACAACATCTGCAAAGGATCACAAAGCAGGCATCCAGAGGACAAACAGTTTTGTCACTGTCCTAACAGATAAATATTATAACAGCTGCACTTTAACACCACTAGCATTCTGAAAATGCCATTCATGAATGCGTGCTAAATTGTTTTGGGCATAATGGTCACACTACAGTATGAATGCATGCTGGCAGGGTCATGTGCTATTCGGAATTTAATTGAGGTAGAAAAGTGGAAGTGATTTTTGTTGTAAGGAAGAAGAGTTCCATTAACTGAAATAAAAATTCATACTCTAATTTTAAACTAGAACAGTGAAGGTCATAGATGGATGTGTTTGAAATACTGCTAATAGGAATTTGAAACTAGTGTATATATTTCATCATAGTTTATATATTTTATGGACTTTTGTGAAAAAGCTCTTAATTTCTCAGAATGCGTTACTTGTTGAAGTTCTTTGAATTACAATTCAATAAATTCCTCTTCTTGTCATTCCAATTCAGTTTCCTGTGGTCAATCCAAGATTGTGACTTGGTGTTTGGCTACCACAATAATAAAAATCAATGAAGTCATGGTAACGTTTTTCCATTACTTTACTTAATCAGATTAATTGAATCAATTTCAATTTAGTTTCTAAATGATATGAGATTAACTCGATTTTTTTAAATCAGTTAAGTACTTAAAATTTAAGGCAGCAACTGAACTGTTAATTTTTTAACTTGAAGTAGGTGGATTTTTTTACAGTGCACCTGGCTTTTCTGTTTTAATGTCTTAAAGTTTTTAGGACTCTTACCACTTACTCCCATTGAGCATGAAATGAAGATGTCTGCTCACCTCCATGCCAACTGACAACCAGTTATAGTGCATTCAGGGTATTCATTTTATCACTTTCATGGGTTAACTGAGAATCATTGGCGATAACTTTAGTCAGGTTAGATGCAATATTTTAATGTGGATGAAAACGAGGCTGTTAATGGACAGACTTGTACAATGGCACACACTGTACGGGCAGAGATCCTGTAATTTTAGCCAGCTCACATTTTCCGGAAAGGCGTTTCATCAGCTGAACAATTGGTATGTTGTTAAAAAACAATACATCAACTCTGCAAATTTTATTCTTCACAGCGTCTTTTTCATCCTGTCGAAACTTAAATATGGCACCACCCTGAGTAAGATCTACTTACATTCTTAGCAATGCAAATCCATCTTCTCTGGTGCTACTTATATTTTTGGGTCTACATTTCTTTTAGAAAGAAAAACAGTGCATTCAAGCATTATATCTGGCCGCTGACAACCTCAGTCTCCTTTTTAGAAGAGCGTGGTCTGGAAGCTGTTCATGGTTGTGCAGGTTTTGATGGACTCTTACGTAAACACTGTTGCAGATCCTGGCTTCTCGTTGTGCAGTTGAGTAAAAATCTGTTCATCATGTTGTAAGATCAGATGTGTCCACTCTGATTCAGTGAAACAGGAGAGATTAAACAAAAGTAGATACAGCAGCATTACAAGTTAAAACGTGAGAAGTGTTAACAGACTTTTAAAATAACAAGATGCTAATGCATGGAGACAGAGTCTCTCAGGCCTTATTGATTTTTACCCACTTTCTAGCATCTTAAATTCATTATATCATTCATTAGAGACAAAGCGATCAGTTAAACAACTGACAACTACCATTAGCAGTTTTATACTGTATCAGTTAGGAAAGCTGCTTGCACTCAGAGCAAGAATTTTTGTGGGATGCTGCTGACGTACTCAAAACCTAAAAGCAATTTGCTTTCTAACTCCTAGTTTTCGCCTTGTCTTCGCAGGTCTCTTTTCGCACTGAATCTGAACTGCAGCATGCTTGCATCATCAATGTGAGTACCACCATGTGAAAGCACTGTTGGTCTAGTAGACCTCTTGGTGTTAAGGTTTTGCCATTCTCCCATCACTCTTATATATTACTTTATGACGTTTTAATTAAAGGGGTCATATGATGCGATTTCAAGTTTTCCTTTCTCTTTGGAGCGTTACAAGCTCTTGGTGCATAAAGAAGATCTCTAAAGTTGCAAAGACTAAAGTCTCAAATCCAAAGAAATATTCTTTATAAAAGTTAAGAGTCGACCTGGCCTACCTAAAACGGCTCGTTCTAACACGCCCCCACATGTCTACGTCACGATGTGGGAAGATTTGCATAACGCCGCCCAAATGTTCACGCAAAGAAAGAAGGCGTAACTTTTATTCTCGC